TATAGGGTCTTAACAAACATGGTAAATGCAATGTTATCATATTCTAGTCTTGGATAAGGATTTTGGGTTGAAGCTTTATTAACATCATGTCGTATGTTAAATAGAATTCATAACAAAATAGCAAAAATAACCATATATGAGCAATGGAAGAAAAGAAAACCAAATATTTATTACTTAAGGGTTTGGGGATGTAAAGTTATAGTTAAAATTCTAGACCCCAAAAGGAAAAACTTAGGTGAAAGAGGAATGGAATGCATATTTATAGGATATGCACAAAATAATAAAGCATATAGGTTCATGGTAATTAGACCAAATGATTCAATTTTAGTTAACACTATTATTAAATCAAGAGATGAAATTTTTGATAAAAATATATTTAAATCTATTTCGAAATAACTACAACCACTATAAACATTTCATCCTATAGGTGGAAAATAAATTCCAAATCCATTGGAACAAATTGAAATTAGTGATGAACCTTGTCAAGAAATCAGGACAAGTAAAAAGGTTAGAAAAGCAAAAAATTTTGGACTAGATTTCTTTATGTTCCTTGTTGAAAGAATTCGAGAGAAAGTATAAATAATAAAATTTCTTATTGCTTTAATGTGGAGTCTGATCTTGTTACATATGAAGCAGTAATGAAGTCTCAAGATTCTACATTTTGAAAAGAAACAATAAATGAAAAAATGGACTCAATAATGAGAAATAACACTTAGATTTTAGTTGACCTTCCACCAAGTTCTAATTCGATAGATTGTAAATGGATTTTCAAAAAGAAAAAGAAGTTAGATGGAACTATAGATAAATTTAAGGCAAGGTTAGTAGCTAAAGGCTTTACATAAAAGCAAGGGATTGATTACTTTGTTACTTATGCTCCAGTAGCTAACACTGCTATAATTAGGCTTTTAATTTCACTCGCCTCTATTTATAATTTGATTATACATCAAATGAATGTAAAGACAAAATTTTTAAATGGTGAATTAGAAGAAGAAGCATATATGGAACAATCAAAAGGATTTATCATTCTAGGTCAAGAACATAAGGTTTGTAAGCTTGTAAAATCCTTATATGGACTTAAGCAAGTGCCAAAACTGTGGCACTAGAAATTTGATAAAGTCATTCTTGCTAATGGTTTTAAAATTAATGAGTTCAATAAGTACATATATAGCAAATTTAAAAATGAAAACGGAGTCATAATTTACTTATATGTAAATGATATGCTAATTTTTTTGTACTGATTTAGAATAAGCTAAGGAAATAAAATTTTTTTTATCAAATAACTTTTAAATGAAAGATATGGGTGTAGTTGATGTTATTCTTGGAATTAAACTAATTCGAAATGATAATGACATAACCTTGTTGCAATCACATTATATTGAAAAAATGTTTAATAAGTTTGATCTTTTATATTGTATTTCAGTATCTACACCCATGGATTTTCAATTGAAATTAGCATCGAAAAATAGTAGGACAATCGGTCAATTGTAATATGCAAGAGTAATTGGTTGCCTAATGTATGCAATGACTTGTACAATGCCAAAAATAGCATTTGCTGTTAAAAAGTTAAGTATACAAGTAATCCAAGTAACTTGCATTGGCAAGTAGTTAAAAGAGTATTTAGGTATTTGAAGGAAATAATCAATTATGGATTGTGTTATAGTGGATATCCTTTAGTTTTAGAAGGATATTTTGATGTTAGTTGGATTACTAATATGAAAGATCATGCTTTTACAAGCGGGTAGATCTTTGTACTTGGTGGGGGTGCCATTTCTTAGGGTTCCAAGAAGCAAACATACATAACAGATTCCATTATGGCAATTAAGTTTATTGCTTTAACTGCAACAGCTAAAGTAGTTGAATAGATAAGAAATTTATTACATGAAGTTCCTTTATGGCCTAAACCAATTTCCCTAATTTTTATTCAATGTGATAGTAAAGCAACTTTAGCAAGGGCATATAGTCAAGTATATAATGGGAAGTCTAGATATATTAGTTTAAGACATAGTTATGTTCAATAATTAATTTTGGATGAAATGATCACTATAACGCATGTAGTGTCAAGTGAAAATTTGGTTAATCCTTTAACCAAAAATCTTGCTAGAGAATTGGCAAAAAAGACCTCAATAGGGATAAGGCTCAAGCTCATAAAGTAAAGTCACCTATGATGGAAACTCAGCTCAATGCTCAGTATAATGTCAAGTCTTGAGTTTAATGAAATAAAATACATCATCTGTATGTGACTGCTAGTGCTATAATAAATTTATAATTTCATCAAAAGTAAAAGTGCTAGGTACCCATAATGATAAAGAAAGGATGAGTAATATACTCTTAATAGACCTATAACATAAATATGTTAGAGTATTATGTTACAAGAATACTTTTAATGGGAGCTACCTATGTGAGTGTAAAGTGTGGCCACTTTTAAGACATTAAGAGCTTGGTTCTAATAGCACTTATGAAAAGAGGATACAGACACATGGCCATAAATGTGTTACCAGATACCAATCATTCATTAGGCGTTGAAATCATTATGTGAGACAAGTTCAGTTAACCATATGAAATAGCTGGTTCAAAGCACAGTCTACCATGTGATTTCAGTTAACTTTAACTTGTTTTCATTAAATGAAGGTTCAAATCAAAGAATATTTTCATTTATGTAATTCATTTCCAAAATCATTATAAAACTGGATTATTTTGAAAATGGTGAGAGATTGCTAGAAATTTTCAAAATAAATTATGGGAAATAATCCCACATTGGAAAAAGAGCAAATAAGATAATCATTTAAATTAAGAGGAGTAAAAGTCCACTGTAGTTGGACTTAAGTGGATAATGGACCATGGGCTTGGATTTTCAAGCTTTGATGGGCTTGGATTTTCAAGCTTTATAGGTCTTGCATTAATTAAATAATTAATATTAATATTTAATTAATGGCAGTTGGTACTTGATATGTATAGTGTAGTAAATAAAATAATATGTTATTTTTTAAAACTTTTTATTTAATTTAAGTTCTAATTAGTAAGTCATGTCTAACAGATAGACAAATTAAGTTTGTCCAAAGTAGAAGATAGATATAGCAGTCTATACAAAACAATAGATATGTTTGTTTAAAATAGAACGTTTTAACCGTTAAAAAATGGAACAATTTCTTATTCAAAATAGAAGTATATTATTGTCTGTTAGAATAAACAAACACTTAATTGTTATATAACTCATTGATTTTTGAAATATACAGAAACAATTTTCAGACTACTTCTTTTTTTTCAATAAACTCTAGATTCCTTTTTAAAGTTTTGTACAAAACTGTATAAGACGATGCAACTCGTGTAATAAGCGATAACATACTCGATAACTAATTTGCGTTAGTACAAAATTGCAATCAATCACTAAACTTGATTGTAACTGATGTTTATTGCTTGCAACCCTTACACACACCAACTAAGTAAATAACATGGTGGGAGTGAATAAAATTTTAAGGAGAATGGCACCATTATATGCTTTGGAGCTTTTCCTCAAAATTTCAAATTTACCAAAAACAAAAATTTTAGATTTTCAGTTTTTGCACTAACATAATCAAGTAGTATATTTATGTATAAAAAATTATTGAATAATCAAATAAACATAATAACTAACAAATTAAAATACAAATAAAACCAAAATCACACAGTAAAATTTAAATTTAAGACCTCAAGGTTTTAAGAATTCTTTCTTATCACTAAACCAAGACTTTAGTAATAGATGTTGCTTTGTTTTCTTTTCTTCTTTCAATGGTGCCCCAATAAAAATTTAGGTTATTTCAAAATTTACTTTTATCTTTTCGTTATGTCTACATCCTTTATGTTAGTTAATAAGCAAATTAGTGATTGTTTCTTTTTCTTTTTGAAAAAATTAGAAGTCTTTGATTCAAGCTTAAGCAATTAATTAGGTATAAAGGAGAAAAAAATCCATTAATTCTTAATTTATATTAAAAAATCTCAAGTTAATAAGCAAATAAATGGAGAATATTTAATTTAATTAAAAAATTATCAATTAAAAATGTGCTTTAATAATTAAAAGCTTCAATGTTATTAAAAAATAATTAATTAATTGAGGTTCGATATATGTTGAACATTCACTTTTGGATATCAAGCAATTTGGCAGGTAATGTGATTTTGAAATTGATTATGAGTTTTAATTCAAGTTTGCATATGTTTGCATACAGGCATCATTTAAGTAAAAGAACGAGAATTTCAATGTTAATAAGAAAAAAATAAAAATTAGTTAATATTTTAATTTCATAAAAATTATTATTTAAGGATAAAATATTTAATTTAATAAATTATTAAGAATATATATGGTTAATTTTTTTTTCTTTATTTTCCAAAGCGAACAAATTGAGAGTATAAAAAATTTCAATATTAGCAAATTGTTCATATGCAACTTTTTTTTATACATATTTGAATTTATCAAAAATTAAACCTTAATTATTGGAACTAAAATTATAACATTCTACTAACAAATATGATTATTGACCTCCTACCTTATATATATATATATATATATATATATATTTTTTTTTTGATTTGAGGATTTGAATTCAAGTTTTTATAAAAGGGAATCATGCACCAACCAAATCTTTGAATTCTCATTTAAAATTTATTTAATTAGCCTAAACTGTTAAAAACATATTTGTTTGATTCAGGGGTTGAGATATGATAACTGTGTGCAAGGCATAATGTTTGTAATGTTGGCATTCATGCCCGTTAACCAATAGTGCCAGGCAAGTTCACAACACGTCGCATGCCATAAATCGAGTAACCAAGTTTCTTTTTTATTTTTTGTATTTTATTTTCTTAATCTTACTAATATTGGCAAGCATTTATCATTTATGTCTTATGTTGGACCCAATTTTCTCCTTATAAAAGGCATTGGAGGACAGCCCTACACTTCATCCATCCATATTTCTTTCTCTTTTCGGCTTTATAATTTACATTGCAGATTAGTTGTATTGGAAGATATAGTCATGGCTTTCAATTGCTTCTTTGTTCCTTTCTCATTGCTTCTCTTGTCATTGCTAGTCATTGCTTTTGCTGCTGATTATGGTAATGATTCATCTAAATATGGTTATCATGGAATCCCAGCTGATAGCCCTCGGCAAATGCCAGAAGGAGAAGCAAAGCCTGAGTATGGTTCAAAGCCAGGAGAGAAAAAGCCTGATTATGGTGAAAAACCAGTCATTTACAAGCCAAATCCCAAAGAGAAACCTGGTTACGATCGGAAACCAGAAGGAGAAGAAGAGCCCAATTATGGCACAAAACAAAACAATTACAAGCCAGAGCCAGAAGAAAAAGAAAAGCTTTGGTCCATTGCTGTTGAAGGGCTTGTTTTATGTAAATCAGGTTCCAAGCACTATCCAATTCAAGGTAATATCTCTTTCTAAATTGTGACTTTGACTAAAATTAAGTGTTCAGCTTCACTGTCATTCATATTTTTACTAATAAATTTCTTAATTTCCTGTGATTGCAGGGGCTTTAGCGAAGGTAACATGTCAAGCTGTTGATGAGATTGGACACGAGAAAACTCTACCTATTTGCAGTGTACCAACTGATGCAAAGGGTTACTTCTTTGCAACAGTGTCGTCTTTAAGTGTGGCAGATAAGTCTTTGAAGCTTAAAGATTTCAAAGCATTCCTTGAAAGGTCTCCATTGGAAACCTGCAATGTTCCAACAAATGTCAACAAAGGGATTACTGGTGCTCCTCTTTCTGTCAGCTATCGAGTTCTCAATGAGAAGCATTCAAAATTGTATTCCGTGGGGCCTTTCTTCTTCACCTCTGAACCTATCTCAGTCCCTAATGGTTACTAGAATTTGAGTTTATTCTTCATGAACAACATTCTGTTTCTTTTCCACCATTTTTTTTTTTGTTCTGTTTTCGGATTGAAGAAGGCTACTGGAGTTGATTCTTTTCTGGTTTACTTTTGTTGTTTAATGATGATTTTTTATTAGCAAAGCCGGAGTTGCAGCCTCTGCGGATTGAGATGTGTAATGAGCTTTACTTATCAATAACAATATTTTCTAATACATGAAAATAGCAATAACTAAAATTTCTTGAAAATGTAGCCAGTAAAAAACAAATCCTGCCAGTACCCAAGAATTACAAAAACACAATACCAGATTTACAAATATGTCTGGATTGATTTGCAAGTTGCCTGATAACTGAAACTAATACTAGAAATCTAACCATGAATGCAGCTACCAAAATCTATTCCCTACTCAATGGTAATTGAATTATCAAAGAACCATTCCAACATTAACAAAAACCCTTTGCTGCCTTTTCAAGAAAACTGCTCATCAGGAGCTTTATTTAGATCAATCAAGCAGTTTATACTCTTCATCTTCTTCATTCTATCTTCTTCTTTCTTCATCAAACCTTGCAAATTCTCTCCATCTTCATTAATCTGTGCTAAATTCTGTTTCCCATCATTGATCTTCACAAAATCAACAGGATGGTTCCACCAAAATCCACCTTGATTAGCATCGTCTTTCTCATCGTCATCAATCATGTCGTCATCATCAATCATGTCATCATCAACATCATCATCATTATCATCATTATCATCATCTTTGATAATGTTTTGAGAGAGCTGAAGACGTTCAACAACACAATCAGCATTCTCAGAAGTATAAACCCTTCCTTGTTCTGAAATTATGATAACACCAATCTCTTCCCCACTCAGCATTGATAATTGGGCAGCTTTCTTTAGTAAACCCTTCTTCCTTTTAGAAAAAGCTACCCATCGTTTCCGTTGGTTCTCTATTTTCTTGATCTCAATCTTTCTTCGACCGCGGCCTTTTGGTCTCTTACTACTCGTACTTGCGTACATGGCTAATACTAACAAAGCTGAAAATTGAAACTAAGAAGAACAAAAACAGAGAGAACTAAACTATGGTTTTTATCTTTTAGGCTTTGGGATCGAAGGCATTAGGAGGATAAAGGTTTACATATATATAACAAAGTATACAAGGTAAAAAGCTATGGTTTTTCCTTGTCCCATTAGGATTCTAATGGCTTTGCAGAAAGACAGTTCTATTGACTTTTTACCAACTAGTTTTTGAATATGATCCCATAAGAAAATTTAGGAAAGATTTAAACCAATTAAGAAAAGAAATAAAAAAAAAATATGGCAAGTACCCTTTTTTTTCTCCTTTTACTTCATGCACAAGCAGTTTTACTATTTTAGTAAACTTAAAAATCTAGAAAAAGTTGTAATCCTACTCCTACAAGGACAACCTTAAAACCTAAAATTATACTCATATATATATCTTATCAAATTCGAATCTATATTGTGAAAACCTTTATTAAATCACTTGTAATCTTTTCTTCTTCTCTTATTTTCAGACTATAAATTTTTATTTTTTTTTGGAAAATACAATCAATTCGTATTTCATTGAAATATATATATTTTGCTCTTGGTTTTGCTTCCCATGGCTGTGGCGAAGATAAAAGTGAGTAGAATGGCCACCTCCAAACGTAGAGGGAATTTGTTCAAGAAAGCTACTGAACTTTCAACCTTATGCGGGGCACGAGTCGCCATTGTTACTATCTCAGAGAAGGGGAAAGTATCCATGTTTCCGAATTCGGATACCGTTATCCATCGTTATGTTACACGAAAAGGCTCTTTGAAATCAACTTCTGGTAATGGGATGATGAAGTTGCGGAAGAAGCAACATGTGGAAGGGGCAAAGAAGGAAGCAGTTAAGAAGGCTGAGATGAAAGAGTTGATGAACAATCAATCGGCAGAGAAAGCTGTTGGTGGTATGTTGATTGATCTAAATCTAGCTCTTTGATTGAATTATTGAATAGTAGTTAATCAGTTAGTGAAGAATTAGTTAGGTTTCTTGGCCTCCAAGAAAACACCCAAGTCTGTCAAGAACTCGAGGTTCGGATTTTGGAGATCCAGATGTGAAATTAGAGTTATCTTTTATTGTATAGTTTTACGTTTTTACATGTTAAAAGAAATTCATATAATCAATCAAATGCTAATAGTTATTTTCTTATGTTATTTTTCTTTGCACTTGATCAAAATCATACACCAAAATCTCTCAAAGAAACATGTTTGAATTCCCCTTCCTCCAATTGTACTTGATAAAGAAAAATTTGTCGAAATCATAATATTTATAGGTAGCTTTTATATGGAAGTGAACTAGTGAATTGTGATTGCATATCAGTATATGGAGAGAGTGAGCCTTCTTTTGTGTTTGTAGAAGGAACGGAGGAGTTGATCTTATTTCAAACGGGATACAAAAAGGAACAATCTTTTCTTTGAGAACATAGATGGTGTGTATTGATAAAGGCCATCAGACATTTACAAATTCTAGATTTGGATTTAGGGGATGTCTAACAAATGGTTCACTCACCTCTTTTGGAAGATGTTTCTCATAAGGTTGGAGATAGATTCTTGTGAATTTTTCTTTTCCAATTCCTCATAAGCCTTGGCCTCCTTAGAAAACCAATTTGGAGTTAGGAGATGTCTAACAAATGATTTATACACCTCTTAGAAAATGGTTTTCTACAAAGTTGAAACTCAATTGCTAGCAAATCTGATACCTAGGAATGCAAAGGGAAACAACTTTTTTTTGGTAAAAAAAATTAGAAGAAAATAAATTATTCAATCTCTTAAATTAAGATAATATGTGCACTTAAAGACAAATGACTAAAAGTCTTGCATTTGAAATGATTCTAACAAGCTACTACTAATTAGATTTGAACTTAAAATCTTTATGTTGAGAAAGATGATACTTGCCAATTGTACCAATCATTTGTTGGTGTATTTAACTCAATTGACACTCAAGAACTTGCTCTTCAACCATGTTAAAAAAAATGTAAATAGTGCAAATCTTCACTGGAGAAAAGGGAGGCTAAATCTCTAAGACCAAATAAAACTGATAAAAGTTTCATATCTCATTCGTTCTCTCTGGTGAATAGTTGAATATATTCATCCAAAATAAAGCAGGGAAACATGCGATAGTGAGTACAAAAAGTTACAAAACAGCAGCAGAAGAAAATACAAACACGAAATTAACACTGCCACTCCTACAAAGATGTTTAATTGTTTACCGACTCAACCCCCCCCCCCCTTGCAACCGCAATAGTTGACAAGGAGCCATTAATGGGAATGCAGCAATGTTTAATTTGATAGATGACACCTAAAATAACGGAGATCAAATTTTGCAACTGGGAGAAACAAAGATATTTGCATAACGAAAACCAGAATAACAAACCAAAATGAAACGCAATCAGTTTTCATCCTGTTATTCAAAAACTGAAAAATAATAGTTTAATGGGAAATAAAATGCAGAAGCAGAGCATTTGGCAGCAGCTAGTCCTACTGCTTGCTTCCCTCTACAACAGCCATGGGGCTGCTAGAGCTTGGAAGCGTGCATTCAAGGCCTGTTCTCTAATAGTCTATTCACTCTCACTATCCAATATCCTATAACAATCCACAATTACTAAAAAGGAATTCTAATCTGTCACTGGCAACATAGTACTATTAGCTTCATGGAAAGAAATTTGTTTATGTTAAATAATATTATATATTTCGATAAAAATAGTAATTATTTTATTAAATTTTATGCAAAATAACTAATTTACAATATTTAATCTACTACTTCAACCTGGGGAATGCTAGTGGCACCCGGAGCTGCTATCGCCCTCTAACACTCCCTCGTAATGAAGCCACGTTTCCACATTTTTTCAACTAAATACCGGCAACCGAATATTCAAGTCATCTCTTTCTTTTTTTTTTTTTTCTTTTTCTGTTGCATGGCCCCAATTTTCAAGACGCATCCAAAAAGTTACCTAAAGACTAGACTACCTTTTGCTGTTCCTAAAATATATTAATATTGTCAGTGTTTTTGCTGATAATTTTGAATTAAACAAAATATATATTATCATATATAATTTTTCTTATGATCAGTTTTATTCATTTAATTTTTTAATTTTTATTAAAATTTCAATATATTTCGGGTGCTTTTTTTTTTTACTCAAAATAATTTTTAAATTTAATTCTATGGTTATGTAAAGTATTCAAGCAAATTTATTATAAAAAATTAAAAAAATAGACAATCATTTTACTCTTAAATTATATTATTTATAATAATTAATTCTATTTAATCCAAAAAATTAGCTTATCTTATTGTACTCAAAAAATAAATTAAAAAAAAATTAAAATTTGACACACCTCCGAATGTTTTTCTTTTTTAATAATTAAAAAGATAAGTTAAATAGGTTTTTTTTTTATGTAAAAGTAGATAATTTTGTAATTTTGTCAATAAAATATAAAAAATAACTGTCCTAATTTTATATTTATTATAATATTTTTTTAATTTTATTGATTATTTTCTCAAATAAAGTTGATATAATTTTACTCATGACACTAAATTTAGTAAAAAAATTTAATAATAGTGTAAATACTATTTTCTCGACTAAATACTATATTTTAGGAGGTCCAGATGTGAAGACCATGATCCCGGTCCCCGTCTTAACCAAGCAATCCTTCCAAAAGTCCAAATGCAGTTGATATTGCCACTCCTGTTGACCTTAGAAGCCAATGGCCTGGTGTCACCTGCGCAGCAGAATGGAGCTCCTCGATTGCAGATGTTATATTGAACTCACGTTCAGATATGGGTAGCAGAAAATTCTGATTTTAGGATAATAGGACTCTCTGCAAGTTGCTGTAGCTTTGTAGCACCAATTCCAAGAAACTTTTGTATCTGAAGTGCAGAACAGAATTATTTATATCACATCAAGATGTTCCGACAAAAGCAGAGTGCTAGGAGCCTAGGACAGGAAGCTTGAGCAGGTTAGGCAAAAGCATTGTTTTGGACTTTCACTGGTACCATCAGCTACTCTCACTACTCATAGAGTCAACACTCTCATTTCATAAGTAATTACAATAAGAAACTATTCAAAACTAATAATCCAGCAAATAGAAAAATGTAGTGTTGAGCCTTTTTATAGTTTCCAATCCTCATTACCTACTCTGAAGAAAGCTCCTGATTACCATGAAACACGACAACCCTCGAACACTCCGAAAACCCAAGGTCATGCACATTCACCATTGCATCAAACGTAACCAACCCAACCAATGCGCTCTCTGGCAACTGTTCCACCACGCGCAACAACTCACTCTTAAGCGCTCTCAACTCATCTTCATGCAAACACCCAACCACCACGAATACAAACGCCGGCCCTCCAATCCCTATCTCTCCGGGCAACAATGTAGATTTCGATGTCATCGACGATAACGAAGACAACGACAACGATGAACCAATAGTATTTCGGACGGAATTAACGGTTTTTGCGTATTCAACGGAGCTGTAATGTATAAAATCTCCATATATTTTAACTATAATGTATACCACTGACAATTTCAGTTTTCGCTTTTCAGAGAAAAGCGTGACCGTAAAAAAATAAATTTACAAAAACCGGTAAAGAGGTATAGCAAAAAAACTACAATGTATACCCAAAAAAAAATTACAAGAATTTTTGCTTGCTATTCGTCAAAAAAAAAAAAAAGAGAAATCAAAGATTTTTGGAACAGTAGAGATTCTAACACAAACAAATTAGAAACTTAAAAAAAGTTGATCAATGGAGCAATTAAATTCCAAGACTTTGGTATTTTTGAGAAAGAGAGAAGAGTAAATAAAAAATAATTCAAAAAATGAAAGAACCACTTGGGGCCATTGAAAGCTTGGGTGCTAGTGTCGCACAAAATTGTGCTTTCTTTCGAGTATCAGTTTGCGTTTTTCAATTTCTACAGTGTTAAGAGAAGTAAAAAGTTAAAGAGAGAGAAGGTAGAGAGTTACAGAGACAACAGACAAAAAGTAAAAAAAGTTTTGTAACTCTTATTAGTTTTGCAGAGTTAAGAGAGAGAAGATAAAAGAGAAATTAAAAAAAAAATTAGACAAATTATACCTTGCTATGAGAAGAAGTTACCGATTTGAAGATCAACATTTAGATAACGTGGCTCTCTTAGAGCTCGGCTGTGATAAGCAGTCGTTGAAAGTGACTTTCCCTAGCATTCCTCAACCTCTAAGGGACAATGCTGCAACCCTAAATTTCAAGTTTCAAAATTAATAAATTCCAGCACAAGAAACAGATAAACAACAAAAAAATTGGTACAGTGACAGTAAAAGCAATGCAGTGAATAAAGTAGCACGTGAATGTGCCAGTAAAAGCACTCATGGAAATAATTGAAGAGAGAGAACTGTAATAAAAATATAGTATAAAGCAACGTCTTGGGAAGTAGATTTCCAACTCAACTGGTATCAAAGATTCCATCTCCAAAGTTCTTCACAGTCTCAATACGATCCATTTAATCAAAACTCATATTTTTTTGGCTTACCATTTCAATTAGGCAAAGATCTGTTTGATGATTGAAGAGAGCAGGGAGGTAAGAAAAAAGCAATACCTTTATTTATTTATTTATTTACATCAAAGGAAGAAGTGAAATGCAAGAGTAGATTAGATCTTGTATGGTTTGTATGCAGATTTTTATGAAAGAATGTTAAAAATAAGTTTCAAAAGATGAGTACTTAAGTAGTGATTTTGTTATGATTTGAAGTTGAATTCGCCAATTCCCTTGACAAAAGCAATGTTATCCTGCAATGTTTACCAGTAGATTTAGTGTGATTATCTTGAAAACAGTTTTAGCATAAATTCAGGGAATTAGAAATCTCACTGGATCGCAGAAATCTTTAAAGGATTGCAGTTTTATAGCCTGGTTGAATAATACTCCAGTGTTTGAATATCTTAATCAAATTGAAACAACTGCTTTTATTTGATAAAGAAAAATATGTTGAGGTTTCAGTTAAATCAGCACATCTTTGAAAACTGTTGTTCTACTTAATAGGATTGTGGCATTGATACTCTTGTCAAATGTTATCTACAGCTGCTGTCACAACCATGAAGGTGGATTAGGAGCAATCTCTTACCAAGCACCAAAAGACTTGCAAATTTGAACGAGTAGGCCACCTTACTTCCCTTCTTGGAATAGTGTTCTTTCAGTCTAGATACTTTACTTTTGCAAATCTTCAGCACTTATTTTTTATCAAATTATGGTGGCCTTGGAGTATGATGATGTGAGCATGATTGGAGTACATGGAATGGGAGGTGTTGGGAAGACAAATTTGGTGAAAGAAGTGAGAAGAAAAGTAGAAAAACAAAAACTTACTTGGCCTAAAATTTGAAGAAGCGACTAAAGAAGGAACAGAAAATTCTTCTTATTGGAGTTTTTTGTTTCTCGTTTTCTAGTTGCTGTATTTCTTGCTTTTTCTCATATCTTTTAATGATACCACAGCTACTCAAAGCTCTTTTTACAGCTTTATAAGTTTGCCTTTGGAGATCTCTTTTTGAGAAATGTGAGAGCAAGAGATCCTGTAGAGGCAGAAGTGTTGCGCCTGAAGCAATAATACAACAATATAGAAGCAATAGACAACAATCAATAATCAAATGCGCAGGAAAAATAAAGCACACCAAGATTTACGTGGAAAACCCTCCAGTGTAGAGGGAAAAACCACGGGCCACCAGAAAAATCTTCACTATCAAATAATAGTTATACAAAGTTCTTCTCTAGCTAAAACTAGAGCTAATCAACAACTAGAGAAACAATTGGAGAAATCTCACCAAATAAGTGACTCAACAAATACACCCTGGATTTGTTCCTAGAGAGCTTCAAACTTTATCTTCACCGTTCAGAATGTATAACTCTGAATCATAAACCTCCTGACAAGGTTCCAACTCAATCGGATCACGGATCGACTTCCGTTTAACCAACTCTCCCTTCTCTTTTTTCTCTCTCTGCTTTTCTTAGCTTTTTTTCTTTCTCTGCTTGGTTGTCGACACACACCTTAAACAACCCCACATCTTTTTATTAAGTAGCTAGGGCTCTGTGTAAAATAAAAGATCAAGGTTCATGACCTTTACTTGGTCCAAAATCACTTACATGGGACTGGATCCCATTTTCCTAACAAGAAGAATATATTGGTGCTGTTAGAGAGAACATAAGGGATTTGGAGAGAAGGATGCAAGTGCTGTTGGGAAGCTTCTATCTATTGGTGTTAGAGGCCCCAACCTTGTCTTATTATTATTTTATGAATTAAGATAGGTTGTGTTGGTATCAGAACATTGATCATTTCAAACATAATTTTTCATAAACATGAAACCCATTCTCTAGATTTATTAGTGTGGATAATTGTCCTTTACCCACACAAATTTAAGTATGAAAGGCCTTAAGCTGAGTTATGATTATTTGCAAATAAAAAAAACTAGGTTATGTTTCTTGTTTTGTTCTTTTTTCCTGAAGATTATGAAATTAATATTGAGTTAACGAGATTTGTATTGATAAACGATTGTTAGAAGATGTTAAGTTCATTGAACATGCAAGTGGAAAACACATGTAATAGTAACTAAGCTACAAAATTTTGGGTTATTGTTGGATACTGATGACAAACAATATTTGAAGCTTTATAATGTGGTCAGTTATTTCGCCCATTGGATTGCATGGAAGAAGAGAACATCTTGATGTAAAAGTTGGCCTTGTGTAAAGGAGTGGCCTAAGAGTGAAAACTTTGGATGTTATTCAACTAGATGGATTGCTTTGCGCAAATCTTCAAGCATTACTATTTGGTGTCAAGTTTGAAGTGTGAAGTGCATTTTTGGAAGGGGTGAAATCCCTGGGAATTTTAGCTCTTGGTGTTAACTTAAAGCACTTACACTGTCTGTGCAAGAGTATCTCCAGTTGTTGCTAGAAGAAGTTCACTTTCTGACAAATCTTCAGACTCTGTACTTGGAACTCGATGCTTAGATTCGGAAGCATAAAGGTTGGAGATGACCCTGCAATGATGATGCCAAAAGTGATCCTCATCAATAATTTGCTTCAATGCTTAACATCAAAAAATCTTTAGATAGCTCAATTGCATTAGATTCTGAGTGATCATAGGACATAACTCCGCCTCTCGCAGTCAATTATTTCCGAAGAAGAAAGATTTTGAAGGGTTACAGCTTGGTTGGGACCTAACTTTCCATATTATCTCAATGGCAGATAGATAAAGATTCTCAAATTTTGCAGCTCCATCAAATTTGAGATGCAGTATCCACCTTGAAGCTGAAGTATCTTTTTCTCAATTGCGGATATTCATTGGTTTTTCCCACCTGGCAGAGGTATAATTTCTGAAAAAAAAAATTCCTCATTATTGATAAATGTACTTTGATTGATGAATGCATGTTGGACTATAAGCGTATTACAGGGTTCAATATCATCATCAAATTCGTGTGTTACTCTCTGTATCATTGAAATATGCACCCATAATTGCATAGTGAATATGAATGGAGAAAAATTATTGTCGTAATGGTTGTCTCCGCCCGATGAATTTGGAAACGAAATAAAAATATAACGTAGTCGTCACCAATCTTTTTTGGTTAGATGCGATTGGTCATCTATTAAAATTTATTTTTTTAATAAAATTAATTAAAATTTATTAAAAAACTAATTTTATGGTCTGCAAAATAGTCTGGATTTGGGAGTCGGTTACGTGTGAGGAAGGATTAGCACCCTCACAGCGTACGTTTAAAAATGGTACCATTTAACTGCGTGTTATCCTTTGATTTTGATAAAAAATAGTTTTATTTTTGGTGTTTGAAA